CAAATTGCTTCATGTATGTCTATGAGTTTCACATCCAGTTTCCGTCTCGCGAGTACCATCCCACTGAAAAGCGATGTACATCGGCCAAAAGTGGACCGTAGTGTGCATAAAATCCATCTTAAAAATTATTTTAAACTTTTTTGGAAGAAGCGTGACCACTCGGGGCCCCCTCAGTTTACCTCCGTGACTTGCTTTTACGCCACTTTAGATGCTTATTTACATAGTCATTTTCGGCGCAATCAATAAATCCTTTTCCTCTTACTCTTTCTTCTTCTCGGATGCTAATATTTTCATTTTTCGGCCCCTAGATACTTAAAAGTACCAGTTCATGCGGAATAAATCCATTTTCGTTTGTAATTTCTTTCAGCACTTCATTCTCTTTTTCCCTCCTTCCACTCTTGTTCCTCCTCATTACTCGTGTCGCTTTGTTTCATTGTAAACCAACATTTGCTTTGCATTTATAAGATGCCTTTTTGAACAAAACCAGATAAATGCAAGGGGGCCAGGATTTTTTATATTTCGGTAGTTTAGGATAATGAATTTTATATTTATAATTTTGAACTTTTAAAACAAAATGGAATAATTCTGTGGCATCTTGCATTTTTTAATTTTTGTATTTTAGTCCGTATCAAGCATTTGTAAAGAAAATGTTTAGATTTTTAACTTAAAGTTATATTTTAAAATAATTTCTAAAGTTTTTGTTGGCTTAATTTTTTTGCAGTGCAAACAAAAATAAATCAGTCTTTGTTTAGGGTCTATAGTGAAATTTGAATAATTGTTAGTATATTTATTAGTGCTAAATATGCCGAGCTACGAAAGGCCTGGCATACTTACACCTGTTGTTTAGGAACAGTTCAGTAAAAACAATGAGATGGGACACTCACAGCGATTGCTCGAGCACAAACTCGTTCTATTTGGAAGAAGTCAGATGTTGGTTATAATATGGAAAAAATCGGAGTTTTCAAGGGGCTAGCAGAGTTACTTCCAAATTTCGTCAATTTCTTTTTCTTTAATAAACGAAAATTTAACATTCTCTTTCTAATAAGGCAGTTATCACTTCTCCACTTTCCGTTTTCCACCTCCCCTCGCCCTCCTCGATTTCTCATTCTTTCTCACCTACACTGACATTTGCTATGATTAGCAGGCCTACTATAAGCTTAGGTGAGGCTTTGCCGCTCATTTTCCCATCAGGTGAAGCCGAGCTCAAATGTAGCCAACCACTCTTACAATTTACGGGCTTATTGAGACCACCACTTATTATTATAATTATAAGCTGAGAAATAAAACCTTTATGCAAGAACGCCCACTTTTTCCACTTACTTTCTCACAAGTCGCAATCTCGGGAAAGTCGTTACCCCATCGCACAAGGCCAACTGTAGTCTTGGGTACGGGCTCTGCACCTTCCCTGGGTACTAGCATACTATTAATCGTAAGCGGAAAAAGGGGTGCGGGGGCACGGGGCAGTTAACTACTTCGTTGATTGATCATCGGAACTTTGAAGCTGTTACACCTTTGGCTTCATCCAGCTTCAAATTAATTACACCGTCGGCTCAGTACTAGGAATCTGCGAGTAATCTTCGAACAATTAACATAATTATCCTTAGGCGTGCGCTTTACATACGCCGCAATTCAATCGTATTTATCAGTTCTGCTTGATTTACTTGGATCAGTTGGCGTCAAGTACTGGGTTTCTTCTCGCCAACGACCTTTATTTTTCAGTCACCTAATTCATCTCGCGAAAGCAGCTTTTCTTTTGCAAATGAATATGGGTCGGAAAGGGAATCGGGCGTCTCATTTTCACTCTCTCCGGGTCATTCTGTTTGTGACTTGCTATCCACTACACTACATCTCCTGTTCTATACTATTGCTGGAATTGCCGCACAAGATTAATTCTTGGCATATGGAAGCGTTCTGATAAGGTCATTGACGAAGGATAAGCATTTTTCTGGCATATATATTTTTACTTTTGTGAATATTTTTTCTGATATTCGTACTATATGTGCTTAGTTCTAAAACTGCCATCCAGAAACTTCCCGTCAGTCCCTCAGCGATCTACTTTGCAACTATTATTCGTTATTAAAAGTTTTTTCCAGAGGAATAATTCACTGAAAAGCTATTTTATTTTTTATCATTTTCTATTGACAGTCTGTTGCACACAGAGATGCGAGAAAAGCAGGTGTCTCTTTTTAAGAAGCATGCTTGCCGATAGCATTTTACAGGAAAATCAGCTGTAGTTCATTAATCCCAATGACACATTTTTATTTTTCGTCTTTCTTTTCGTATTATGTTTCCTTTTGTGACCACGTAAGCAAACAGACCGTCTGCCAAATAATCGGAGTGTCGGATTTTGTTACGGCCAAACGAGTAAACAAAATTCATTTGACAGAGAAAGTTGCTCGCTTTTTCGACTATCGGTGAGAGTCAAGCATTAGTGAGTGGTACCACGAGAAGTGAACGACCACTCGGGCTATTTGTAAACAGATAGCACACATACATCGAACAGGCGGTGAGTACTAACTGGAAGTATGCAGATCGAAATCGAAAAGCCTGGCATAGCTGTGCCTGGCGTTTGAGAGCAACCCAGTAACATCACTAACTTTGAATACTCACATCAGCTGTTCGAACGTTTTGGTATTCCTAGTATTTGAAGTTACTTATTTTAAACAAAATGATGCGAGGACTGGAAAGAATATGCGCAATTAGTAAATTATACGATGAGTACGGAGGACTTGGTTACTTGGATTATTGTGGAAAGACGAAGAAATGGTGGACGCTGATAATTATTTTCACTGTTTTTGCAAAAAAATGCCTTTTCTTCCAAAACTCGCGTGGATTTAATTCAGAAAAAGTGGATTGGAAATGATGGTATTGTTTGCTTACCACAACAATAATAATACTGATGATGACTCTGCTTTATAACCGTATTCTTCCTGAAAGTTCTCAAATTCATCAAGAATAACTGCAAATTGTGATGGACTTTTTCGAAAAATTGAATTACACAAACTGCGAAAAGCAGGTTGGCATTTTTAAATTTTTTGGCCTAAATTTCAATGAGCCCATCCCGACAGGTTAGACTACATAGTAAAAATTTGGCTAGAGACTATACGCAAAAAACAGAGAAAGCAATAAAAGTTGAGAGCTGAAGTACCTGTAAGAAATATAAGATAAACCAGTGGAAGAAATATAAGACCTCACAGAATTATTTGGATGGGAGAGACACAAAATAGAGAAGAATGGAAAAGTTACCAAGATGCGTTAGTAGATAGAAGAAATGCGGCGATGCAACGATAGCTGATCGAATTATTAAAGTACACCGATTTCCCTCAGATCAATATATTTCAGGCTCAGATGTACCAAAAATTGTCGCCGATGCCACATTTTTTGGCAGCACTGTTTGCAACAGTGGCTTGCATTATCTTTGCGCTCACTACGTTCGGCAATCTTCTGGTGCTGTGTTTCAAAGCCCGAGTTGGCCGTACAAATACTACGCTATTAGTGTGGAATTTAGGCCTTACTGATTTCCTTGTTGGTATTATCGTTCTGCCACTTGGTGCAGTTCACGTTATTTTGCGTGAATGGCATTTCAGTCGCTCGCTTTGTCGTTTATGGGTAGCAGCCGACGTTACTTTTTGTACCTGTTCGGTGGTTAGTTGTTGCCTTAGCATTTAAACTATTATTTGTTAGTAAATAATAGTACTATTTCATCTTTTTCACTCCATTTATAAATTCCAGGAACTCTAAGATAACCAGGACAGTCAATGTGAGTATCCTGTGTTAGTGTCTGTACCAAATCGCCATCGAAACGAGTGAAAAAACGCGCTTCGTTGGTTCGAAACAAATAAACTAATGAATAAACTAATGGTAGCCTACCAGTAAAATCGAATTTTCAGCTTCAGCGTGGGAGCAGCACTGCTTCCCAGTAAATCAAGATCCTAGCAAATTTGAGCAGAATCCTATACTCAGAAGAACAAAGAAAGATAATTTTCAAGTTTCACAGGCCATAACTGATAATTTCTCGCGCTAAACATTTGCCCG